TTATTTTTTAAATATTTTTTTTTCGTATGTGTGCGTGCCACGGCGCACAAAATCAGCCGAAATCGCGCCTTTTAGTTGTACCGCGGCTCCTGCTGTCCGGCGGTGAATTATCACCTCGCCCGGTACCCGTTGACCTTTTTTATTGGGGTCATTTGACCCCATTGCAGGACCCCATCGCACCGTTATAAACTGGGGTGCGTTCTTGATAAAATCGTCTCATTTACTGTCTAAATTACAGTGGTGCCGTAAGACCCACCAAGTAGTTTTAATTTATAGACTTTAGCAACACCATTTCTCAACCTTTAAAAGAAAGTCCCAGTCTGCTACATGTTATACCAAGTGTTCTACACGTGTCTGTTTGCTGCCTGTGTAACACGCTTTTCTTATTTCAAACTGAGGATAAATAATCATTTATTACAACAAAACGGTGCATTGAATTTTGGGGGGGATTCGATTTGTGAGTTCATTAATAAATCATGTTTTGAGTGTGTAAATTTCAGTACTACCGCAGTTGTGGTTGTTAAGCTACATCGGATTATTGTGTTGGGCCCCCGAATTTACTAACGTTATTGCCGTATACAACGAAGACCTTAAAATGGAGCACTCCCCTGAAAGTCATGTATCCACTTTAAACTGTCTGTGTAGAGTGTGCGGAAGACTGAACATTACAGGAAAGCAGAGAAAATCCTTTAAAAAGCCGTATTTGTGTTCGGAAATAGCCAGTGACCTCTTCCTTGTGTTTGGGTTGAGTATCAAAGATGACACTAGTGACAAACACTCCAAATTTGTGTGTTTAAAATGCTAAAAAACAATCCATGGCGCTAAACGTCGAAATAGTGCAGTGTCCCTACAAACACTAAGAAACACTTTTGACAGCAGTCAACACATCTGGTGTGCTTACAGTGAAGACTGTGATGCAAAAACGTGCACAGTCTGTGAACAGAAAAGGCTGCTCTCTCTTGGCTGTGCAACAGTAAAGCCCCGTGACCCCCAGTCTCACTCAAGCAGCCATGAAAAATACACACACCAAGCTAGTCCTAGCACCAACATTTCTGAGACAGACACAAGCACACAGAGTACATGTACCCGTGCTCTCAGCACAGACTCAACGCAACAAAACGACCCCCACACAAGTACAAGTCAGACTTTCCACCCCCACCCTCAGTCTGTTGTCCCAGTCAGTGACCAACACGTAGGTGTACAACATGCAGACACAATGGTTCAGGACAGTCACATCGTAGCTCACACCGACAAAATCAGTCAGAGCACGTCGGTCACAAATTCTCCCATACCGTATGATAGCAGTTGTGAGCACAGCGTAAGCACAGTTCGTGTTTCTCCATCGTCATCATTCACACCCACTAAAGGTCAAACATTTTCTGCGACTCCCTTGGCTTCATCAACTCCAGCCCAGATACATGAAACAGTTAGGCCTACCCAAGACAGCACAACATCTCCCATGATCAAAGACATAGAAACCATCAGCCATGCAATGAGTAAGGCAGAGACGCATCCACTCACTAAAAAAGAAGAACAATTAACAACAAGACTTATAAAGAGAAAGCTCTATAGCGATCCAAAGGGGAAGACGTTAAAATGTAAGACAAAGGGGCAGCCATTAGTTTTTCACAAAATCGTCGTGCCAAGGAAGCCGATAACCAGTGCTAGGACTCCAACAAAGAAGAAAAGAGCACAGTTGGTAAATAAGATTAGGAAGGGTACATCAGGCACATCTGGTACATCAGGCACAACTGCAGATGCTGACTCTCTGCATGCAACAGAGTTAGGCATGGTCCCTAGAAATAGAAGACAAGAAATTTGGAAAAAAGCAGGGGCCAAAAGCCAAAATTACAATATCGGCACAGCAGGCTTTGATTATGACAGAGGAATTGGGATTGAGTTTTAGGAAAGGGAGAGTGCACAGTCAACTCCTAAAAGACATGGGTGTTAGGACTGAAAGTAAAGCTTCTCAGAAGAACCTTGCCCAACAGCTTGTCCAAGATTTTGTAACTGTAAAGGGAAAGTTGTTTCTTAAGGACAATTTCATAGAAACCGAAACTCCCTTCGCTAGAATAAGAGATCTCCCACAATTTCTAAGCTATCTCCTCGATGAGTATGATGCAAAAGATATGCTCACTTGGCGCGATGGTATCATTCCGGAAGAACAAATATGGGTTAAGGTTGGTGGGGATCACGGTAAAAATTCGTTTAAAGCAACTCTCCAAGTAGTAAATGCACATTCACCAAATTCTCAACACAACACTGCAGTGATAGCAATGGCATCCATGAAAGACACATATAAAAACATTCACCGATTTTTGGAAGGGGGTCTAGTCGAGGACATCGTCAGTTTGCAGTCCCACGCATGGAGGAATAAAACAATCAAAGTCTTCCTCAATGGTGACTATGATTTCCTCTGTAAAATATTTGGGCTTTCCGGCCCACAGGGTACATACCCATGCCTGTGGTGCCTAACACCAAGGAACAGAATACATGCACAGTTTGAGGCGTTCCAGTTATGGTCACTGGATTCACTCGTAGCTGACAACAATGCATTTTTGACTGAGCAAGGTGGGGATAAAAAGGAAGTAAGCCGCTACCACAATAGTTTGCACCCACCTCTTTTGCCCATTGATCTAGATCTTTTGGCCCCTCCCTATTTACACATCTTGTTAGGCATAACCTTGAAACACCACAAGCTGTTAGAAGAAGCAGCTGACAAACTTGATTTAAAGATAGTCTCCCAGTCGGATGCCTCTGCCACTGAAGCAGGAGCAAAAGTGAAAAAATACGGTGGCCAGTGGAGGAAAGTTGACGAGCTTAAAGCTCATTTAGACATTCTTCAAGGTTGTATCGTTCTTTGTAACACAGATGTAGACAAAGCACAGTACTCACAGGAGTTAGAGCAGACAGAACACACATTAGCTCAACTCTCATACCTTGAACTTACCCCTAGATCTGGTCCCATTGCTTCCAGCCTAGACAATATTCTCAAAGCACACAGAATCACACCACAAGCATATCACAGTAGGTCTTTCATTGGAAATCATTGCCACAAGTACCTTAACGAAGTAGTTTACAAACATCTCACAGAAGAAATAGTCACTCAAACAAGACGTCTCACATGCGATCCATTCATCGTTGATGAAGCAAGCATAGTGCAATTCACATTTGACGATCTGAACAAAACATGCAGTGATGTTCACAGAGCCATCTCACACAGAAGACCCATCAACAAAGATGCACTGCCAGAACTCCAAAGGCTGGTAGACACTTACATGGCCACATACAGGAGAACATTCCCCAACAAAACAATCCCCAAACAGCACATCTTAGAACACCACTGCATTCAGTTCATTACACAACATTCCGCAGGTCTCGGTCTGCTGGGTGAGCAAGGCACAGAGAGCAGCCACCAGACTATAGCAAAATTGGAGAAAAGAGCATGTGGCATCAACGACGAAATCGAGAAGCTAAAATTCATCATGAAAAAACACCTACTCCAAACAGCCCCGTCTTTACGGCACACACCCAAACCAAAGACAACCAGGACATCTCCACGAACCACTGAAGCCAGTACCTCGTCTGTTTAGTAGAACTAGTTTATATGTTTAGCTGGGGTTTTATGGTTCTTGCAACACTTTAAGGTCCTATAACTTATAAGTGCCAATTATAGAGTTACAAGAGAGTAGCAAACATAGAAAAGAAGGACGATAGTAGTTATAGTAATAGAAGAAGCAAACCAGAACACCTGCCAGCCACCCACTACCCGGGCCTTCAATAGAAAATTGAATTCATATAGCAGCACTGTACATAATGCGCATGTGTGTATATAAAAACCTATAGCCTACGCCATGATTCCTATGGAGTTATTGTCTTCCAAGTGAGGGAAATATGTGGATACTTACGACAATGTGATGCATAGATGAACCATTTTGAGGTCACACAAACTGCGGTAGCAGTGAAATTTGGTGAGTAGATACCCTTATGTGTTCCGTTTGTGTCCCTTAAAGATGAACTAATCCTGATGCTCAGTTTTCTAATTATCGACGCTCGTTACGTCATAACTAGAAACAATAACGGGAATCAGACAAGACCATCTTGCACTGTCTGTTACAACTAAACAGACCATTACTGATTCTCTTTCTTTTTGAAATATCACGAAAAAGACTTGGAACTACTAATGCCCGCATGCAGTGATGTCTTTAAGTCAATGTTATTGTGTTAATTAGGGCTCAATTCAGAATGAAAAATACGATTTTCTAAACCTCCCGTGCGGCCACGTTGACCGAACTGTGCCCATGCGATGACCCCGTTCACCGTCACAGGTCAGCGCACCACTGGTTACCTGAGTTCTCAACTAAAATATCCTGTTTCTATGCGCCGTGGTGCGTGTGTGTGTGTGAATTAATGTTTAAACCCTGATACTTCTTTGATTTATTGAGTCTTGTCTAAAGGGCATGAAAACACATGGTGCCCATCCACACACTTTTTTTTCAAGCCCTTACAACATTCTCTGTGTCCACAGAATACAGAACATGAAGATGATAGATGGCAAACC